TTGGTGAAGGTATTTTCACCCCCAATTCGTTCAATTTATGGATAGTGATTTGTGAAACGTGTGGGCGGGCGTTGTCATGCAAAAGAATCGGACCCTTTCTTTTGATAAGTGTTGGCTGCAGCTGACAAAATTTTCGGTACATTTCGTCGATTCCTTCACAGTAGGGTTCTGCTGTGATGGTTTGGCCTGGTGATAAAAAGTTATAGTGGATCACACCAGCCGATGACCACTGTGACCAGAATCTTTTTTTCGTGAGGGTTCGGCTTTGAAAATTACCTCGGTGGTTCGTCGAAATCCAACCACTGTCCGGAACGTCTCCTGTTATCATACATGACCCATTTTTCATCACAGGTGACAATTCGGCCAAAAACAGGTCGTTTCTGCTGCGCAAAAGCAATGCAGAAGGAACCTCGAGACGTGCCGATTCCTGCCGGTCACTCCGATTGTGGGGCACCCAATTGTCGAGTTTTTTCACCTTCCCAATGCGTTCCAGACCATCTGCAACAGTGGATTTGCCAACGCCTAGCTTTTCTGCAATCTCTCGAACTGTTTGGGATGGGTCAGCCTCAAAATCCCCTTAAAATCCTCGTCAGATATTGCTTTAGGTCGACCGCTATGAGGTTCATCTTCAAGGCTGAAATCTCCAGAACGAAATTTGTTGAACCATTGCCGCACAGTGCTTTCTCTAGCACTATTGGGCCCCCACACCTGGTTAATTTGTTGAGCTGTTTCGATTGCGGATTGCCCCAATTTATAGTCGAAGAAAAAAATCGTCCGAAGTGCTCTTTTCACATGCTTGAAAAAATCTTAAAAAAGGGGGTTCATCAAGCAATGGTGAAACGGCAGTTATACCATCAGATAGCGCAAAGAATTCTCTTCAGGATGTACTACTGAGACGCAAGGGAGAATGAGTTTTTAATCAGCAATGAATGTGCAAAAAATAGTAACACAAAACCTGCAGAACTTTCCGGACAACCTAATAGGAAAGCACCCTTAGATCTCATTTTCAGCCTAGTCCGAGATTTTGACTTTACTTCGAAAATTGTAATAACCGTGAGGTGCTCTCAAATGCATTTTACCCTTGTTCAATTACGCTCCTCAAACTCCCTCCTAGTCTTCGTCTTACAGGTCATTTCGACAATCTCAGTTCATTGTCGCGTGTGCTCAGTATTTGTGATAGATAGAAGCAAACTCACCATAGATAATGCGTTATCATATCTCTGCCATCCTCTTCAGCGCGCCTCCCCCCAGGGTTTATTCTTTCTGGGTTTAAAATCTCATATTTGTTTAGAAAGAACGCGTCCTCCGCAGTGAGGTGGCTTTTATGAAATCACGAATGTCATATTAGCTTTTGTGTTAAGAACCCTTAATGTGTCTGCTGATATGTCGCTCATCCATATCAACGTGTCATCTGGCTAAAGCCTAAGAGAAGAGACCATGCAAAGGAAACACGCCTGCACTTCTTGAAAAGCAGCTCAAATCAGCGTAAAAAAATCACGTCTAGCGATACGTCCTATTACAAAGGCCCCATCGGAAATGACTACTGGAAAACCTGAGCACGGCTTAGTAATTGTTTTAGATTGTGCTGCTCGGATACAGTCTCGGCACAGCAGCTGTAGCAAATTTGGCCGCCAGTGACCCACCAAGAGTCGTAGGCGTCGTTCTTATTGCTCCGTTCACAAGTGGTATTCGCCTTTTCTGCAACCAGCCCGAAAAGGGTGAGACGAGTAAACTCGACAGATTTTTAACGTAAGTTTATTTATATTTTCTGTGATATGGAATATTCTATGTCCTAAGTTAGTTGAAAAGGCAGTGCGGAAACTTCGGGAACCATTCTGGAGAATAACATGATGTGCTAATTCTCTTCGGAACCCTGCTTGCTCGCATGGCTGTCCTTCGTCTAGTGTTCTGCCAATCCTGTTCAGGATGACTCGTGTGAAGAGTTTGTAGACTACAGACAGCAGGCAGATTGGGCGATAATTGCCAATGTCGTACAGGTCTCCCTTCTTGTACAGCAACACAGTCTTGCTGGTTTTCCACGAGGTGGGTACCTTGCATTCCGACAGGTAGCGCGTGAAGAGTCGAGCCAGAGTTTTGACGAGAACTGGCGGAAGATTCTTCAGCCTGATCCTGTCGAGACCGAGTGTCGTACGATTCTTCATCGACGACGTTGCAAGCAGGGCACGCCATTGCGTTGTGATCATTTCCCGCTAATTACGACCCCTCCCCCAGAATTAAGGGTCTTAATACGACCCCCTGTCACGAGGGTACAAATGAAAAGAAGCGCAAAAGGGACGAAGAAAATGACAATAAAGAGAACTGGGCGCTATTGAACTATTCCTACGCCAAAAACTCAAAAAAATTTATGCTGAAACTTTGTCTATAGATGTTATTCGATGTCCTGATCACGAGTGTGACATCATTTCTCCATACCAATGCTATTTGGCACTCTGCTGAGGCTGAAACTGAGAAAAAGGGAAGATTTCCCGCAGGTCAGGCTCAGTCTTAGCAAAGCGCAGATGACCATAGTGTCCTACGTTAGCGCTAATAAATATCATATTCGTAATCAGGATGTCAAATAACCCCCGTATACAAGTTTTCATCGATTTTGGTGATTCAGGGTATTTTGGCCGGCGCCTGTGGCGGCGCCAAAATACCCTAAATCACCAAAATCGATGAAAAGTTTTGGGCAAAGCGGGTGTGATATTCGTGTTCAGGAGGTCGAAGTACCACTGTAACAAATTTCCATCCAAATCTGCCCCTCTAGAAAAAAAATCGATAAAAAATTGGCCTGATTTCGGCAGACTGGGGTAGGAGTAGTTCGATAATGCCAAATACTACAACAATACAACCTTAAAAACTACTAGAAAACAAAAAAGAGATCTAAAATACCAAACAAACGACAAAAAACTCACCAGAAGTACTAGGAACTATGCATTAGTTTTTGAATATTAGTTGTTCGCGGTCATCCGCACGCGAGCCCTAATACACGCGCTAATACAAGCGCATTGGTGCGCGCTATTTTACGACCTGGAGCCAATTTCAAGCCAAACACTCGAAAAGTACCCCTCTTTTGAACACCCATAACTTCGTTGAAAGTAAAGCTCTCGGAGAGGGGAAAGTGGGAATGAGTGGAGCTAGGTTGGCTCTTGTTACCTGAGTTTGAGCGATTTCAAAAACATTTCTTTTCTAGAAATTTTCCCCGTTGTGACCCTTGCGTGATCATGGGGGCCAACCACAAGTCGCTACGCTTTGGACATCCATGGCAAGCTTCATACACGGCCTTTCGTAAAAAAAGAACTGTGCCGGAAGCATGAAGCTTTCTAGGCCTTTCGTGAAAAAAAGAACTGTGCCGGAAGCATGAAGCTTTCTACTTTCCAGCAAAACTTTCACTTTTATCCCTAGGCCTGCTATTCGAAAAATTCGAAAAAAAATTGGAAAAAAAGAAATTGTGATCATAGGAAAATCGCTCCCCCGGCCAAAAAAATCAACCAACCCCTCCGACGCCAGAAAATCTCCAGTTGGCTTTAAGACATTGGTATGCTTCTAAAACGCATGTTTTTGCCAAGGATACCAGGAAATAGTTCATTGGACGCCAATTGGCATCACCTCTGCATTGCGCCATGCATAGCGCTTTCACGCAGAGCTATTGGGAAGGTGCAACTTCTAGAAAGGGCTTCCTTCGTGCAGGTAGATGTGCTTGCACGGTCAGAAAGGCGGAAGTGTATTTTCATCTGTTCACTAGTTCATGGCGGATATTCATTGGCGCGGAGGTGGTGTAGTGACAAGTGGCGCGCTTACCACTCGCGCGATGCCGGGTTCAAATCCCGGGTCGACTTTCGCCTAGGCCAACCAAGCCTTCTACCCTCCGGGGACGGTAAGATGGTACCAGATTCGCCTGGGAGGATAAAACACTGATTTGTACATCGGCTGGCCACCGCAAGTCATTGTATAGGCCACATCGCAATCAACATGGACAATGGATAAGTCTTTCATCATTAAAGCTGAACGACAGCTGGGTATCGCTGCACCCTCACTTCAGAAAGGTCCCCGCGCTTACGACCCCCTCCCTCGAGGTCAAATACGACCCCCCTGTTGTGATGATCACAACGATGGCGTGCCCTGCTTCGGAAGGCAGAACTGGAGGAACGACTCGTCCCGACAAGTGCAGGTGGGATTGGCTGTCAAAGAGATCGGAGTAGAAGTCAAGGATGACTTTCTCCATTTCCCTTCGAAATGCAGTGATTGATTCTTTCGGAATCGGAGACCGGTCATCTTGGTCTTACAGTTGGCGAAGTCGCGGCGGGCGGTTCGGGTGCTCTAACCAGGCTACTCCTCTCTCCTTGAGGTCTTCCTTTATCGCTTCTCTGCATAGCTTCGCAAGCTCAGACGTCAGCTGGTAATTGCCTGCGGCTCGTGCGGCTCCACGTTGGCGAATCAGCTCGAGAGTTTCCAGAGATAGACGCTTTTGGTAATCTTGAAACTTTCTGACTTTGGCGCAGTCGTGGAGACGTTTGGCAAGCTCTTCGTATTCCTCGTCGATTTCTGTCGATAACGGAATTCCTCCCAGAGCCCAGCGAGAGAAGTGAAGTGACCCCAATTCATGACGGTCTTAAAACTTCGGCTCTTGAACGTTACGGCTCTCTCCCCTTTCATCGCGAGCGCAATCATGGTGGTCCGATTCATTTAGAGGAACAACAGCGTTGGTCAGGCAAAAGCTTCGATTGTAGCAGATGTGATCTATCTCATTATGGATTGTCCATCAGTAGACCCCCATGTCCAGCGTAGAAAGAGAGTACTAAGCAAGCCTATCATCCTGATCATTCCTCTCCGTTCCGTGATTTCCAAATGAAGGTCGCCCATTCCTACTTATTAAGCCTGAGTAGGCGTGGCATTTGAACATGGCACGGAACTGGTTACTCGTGGAATATTCCAGTCTGGGACAACTGTCATCTTGTTCTGTGTTGGACAGAGACACGACAACAATTGTGTCGAGATGAGAAAGAAGCAGAAGCATAGACTCTTCAGGTTAAGTCGAAGCATTCAACCCCGCCTACCCGATCTCAGGGATTTCGAGTATATGTATCCGATCTTAATGTTGAAATCGCCAAGGATAACCGTGAAAAAAGATGGGCTCTTCGTTACGGAACTTTTCCAATTCCATATAGAACGCTTCGAGCTCATCCTCGTCGTAGCTTGATGTTGGTGCGTAGGCGACGAAGATTGTCAAAGCTGGAGTTGAACCACATCTTCTCAATCGCAAACGTCCGATTCGGGTCGTCAGACTTTCGTACGAATCGATGTTCATGGCCAAGTGCGTGTTGACGAGGACGCCCACACCGCCAACGCCTCTGCTGTCGCATGTTCCGAAGGAACAGTTCTTCTCCACTTCCGTATACAGCTTTCTGCGGGCAATGCCTCCTCGTCTCTGTCACTCCGATTACGTCGTACATGATCATGGCTCGCATGGCCCTGACATTCTAGCAGTTTTCTCGAGCGATCCCAACCAACGCTGCCCTGTTGGTGGTTCCCTCGGGTCAGGAGAGTGAGGCCCATATCCACCACTGTTTTCTGCGTAAGAACTCGACCACGCCTAGCTCGCTAGGCTCTAGTACCGGGTACGTGGTAACGTGGTTTCAATACGGTTTAAGACCGATCACCCCTACGCCACGCTAAGGCTTTGAGGAGGGTTCTGACCACCCAGATTTTTTCTTCTGCTTCTCGAGTTTTTCTATGTAAGCAGAATTTTTTAAATATGTTGTCCAGTGTACCAACTAACGATGTGGAGGCTCACAGCCCTTGCCCCTTCGCTTTGTTGCCATTTCTCTACATGTTTCCATGTTTTTGATTGAGATAACATATACGTCCAAAGTTTGACATTAAATCACGATTTTTGGGAATGTGGTAGCACTTCAGTGTCATTTGACAGGATACTGTAAGACAATTGCTACATTGGAAGCTGCTTGAGTGAGTGCGAAGATGTGATTACCCTTCGTTTGTTAGCACGCTTAAAGGCACGTTCCGCGATAAACTAAGGCTAGGTTCTCATAACCGTGCACGATGGTCAAGCAGGCAACGTCAGAGGCTATGCTGCTTTTAAAAGTTGAAAAACAGCAAGCAAAACGCAGGGCGCTCAGGTTTTAGGCCCATTTGCGCCCGATAGGCCCATGCCGGCCTCCAGTGACCGTGTCGTTGTGAGACTGCCATTGCGCTCTCTCGCCCGTCGTTTTCTGGCCTCTCTCGTCTCTTATCAGTGTATCGCCGCCTTTCGCAATTCACAATTGATCTTGACCACCTTACGCTCGTCCGGTGATCATGATCAATTGCAATAGGGGGTCCTTATTCCGGGCGCTTTTTTATTACATATGAACTGTGGTCGCGGGAATTGCCTTCAAGAAATTATGTGACATACTGTCATAAATCGCATTGGTTTTCTGAAATGTAAAATGAATCTCTTTAGGGTAAAAAAAGTACGCCTTATCAAGGTGCCCACGCTCGTATGCCACGGTTGTCGTGATGACTCCATACCTGTGGAGCATGGACTTGAAATTCACAGGAGAGCTCAGCGACCCGTATCGCCCTTATTCGTAGATGAAGCAGATCACGTTTCCATATTCAATGGAAAATACCTACAAACGTTTTTAAGAATTAGGGAGTAAGTTGCGTTATTCACATTTGGATCTGTACCACCAATCTTCCGTTGATCATCGAGTCATCGACCTTGGAATAGTATAATTCTTTGGAGATGGGATAGAGGGACATTTTTTAAATGGCAAGAAGGGCATGATACGCTTTGAACTGATAACGGTTTCAATGGCACGCCCACATAACATGGGCCCTCGATCGCAATGAGGGGCTCTCTCAGGAACACATAGAACGGTTCGTCAAACATTGATACTATTTCCCCGCTTATCGCCCAGCTCAGTAAATTTGCTCCTTTCGGGGGCATACATTTAGAAACCAATAAAATCCGCCAGGAAACTTTCCATGTTGAGAAATTCAATTTCTATGTAGTGAACAGCTATTGACCAAAGCCAGAAGGGTGACAAGACACGGCATTCTACACTTGCACAACTAATCACATCTCACCTAAAGCATCAAGCTCCTTCTTATTGAAGTCACTGTTCCATAATAGAAACAATTGCAAGAGGCTCAGAATAAGCCTCCTCTAGAGTATGTCATGTGGAAGCATGGAAGCAAAACATCGTTTGTGTTGCTCGTATATTGACAGGACATTCCTATATGTGTCTCTTCCGCCTTCCCACTCAAAGGCATAAGGTCCAAAGATTTAGCACTTCCTCAAAAATGGTAGCGAGGGTGCAATATAGTTGGAGAACGACGAAAAACGAAATTAAACGGCAAAAACCTGCGGAAAATAATTGCTTTGCTCAGCATTGGACGAGCACATTTGGACGAGTTCCCCGCTGGCATCGCGCCAGCAACGCTTACATAGATACCGCTGCACGTATGTACTCATATCCGTGTGGCTTTCTTCATGACTGCAGCGATAACAGTACCAGCGTCGATGTGACTGTGGCGAGTGGTTGCGGTAGGCGTTTTATTGGGCGTGTTGCACCTTGCTTATGCGGATTAACGCTATCCTTGGTAAGAAAAAAGGAACAGGTAATCTCTCCCTCACTAGCGCTTATGTTAGTCAAACTAAAGTCCCATATTTTGTTTCCTTCTTCTTCAATCAAAATCTCCCGGTGTCCATTATTTTGCGATGTCATCCGCTAGGCAAGAAGGCGTATTTCCATGTTTTTCCCAGTTAGGTTGCATATTTCCATGTTTTTCCCAGTTAGGTTATCTCATGGCATTCAAAAGAAAGGCGCTGAAAAGACAGGTTTCGATTGTATTCGCTCTTAATTCCGTAGAGAATGTTTGTCGCTTTCCGTAGTGGTCCGGAAACCACTATGGGCTGGTTTGGGATTCCATACTAGAGTAAGCAATTTACGGATTCAGCAGGCTCATAATAATTGGGTGATGAACAACGTCGTCATGTAGAAATCTCTTCTCGATCGGTGTTGGGTAACGACACTAGTTTTTTTTAATTGTATGCTACTTGACTCGTCGTACTACTTGACTAGCCAACGCACTTCCATGTCGAATCCACTCCCACCTTACGGGAATGCATCGCACGTGAAAATTAGTTTTACCCCTTTCTTGGCTCGGGGCGCAATGCAGTCTTAACATCTGAGGTAGAATGTTGTTGAAATAGTTGGCGTGTATCGGCTGTATGTCAGCAGTATCATTTATGAAGTTGCAGAAGTAGCAATTCCGATCTGAAGTGTAACATCAAAGAAATCATTTCAGGTTTCTAGAGACCGAAACTGATTCTCTCATTTCAAAATCGGTCAGTGCAACAGAAGAGAGAACGCGGAAATCGACGAAAACTGAGGAGATTTCGAAATAATTCCGCTGTCTATAAGATACAACAAACTCGTAATAGTTGAAATAAACGGTTAACTATATTTTGATTATTCGCCATTCAATAAACCGTGTCCAGTTGCAAACTGTTCGTGCACACTAATCAATTCTCTACAGTTCGACTCACTTTTAGCCGGAATGGCAGACAAATTTTCGACTTGCATGAATTGGGATTTTGCTTCACAAGGTGGAAGTATTTCGCAAAAGAACGGTACAAAACACAAAGAAAAAAAAATCACTATTCTGATGTGTAGTCTGTAGCATGGCAAATGCTCGGGCCATTGTGAGGAGGACGGAATGACCTCGCCTCCGACTGCCTTTTTTACCAGAGGTGATCGCTTAGTGATCAATTTTTAGGAAGAATGCCAGTGCTGGAAGGGGCCACATATAGGGTAAGTCCAACCATCCTTGATTGGGACCCAACTGATCCCGGTGATACCAACTGTAAGTGGCGTGGCAATGCGTCGAACATTTCATTCCCTTGTTGCCAGTACTATTAATACAAGTAACTCAATAACAAAGGGAAAAATTGGAAAAAAATTTGGTTATGCTGAGGAGCAGGGCAGATTATGGAAGTCCTTGTGCTCATTGTCAACCAATTATGAATGCCTACTCGTCAACTGACCCTGTACAGCTTGCTTATGCTGCTGCTTCTCGCTGCTTATGCTAGTTAGGGGCTAAATTTGGTGTGGTGCTAGCCGTTCCCACCTATTATCGATTCTTGCACACTTCAACAATTGGTAGAGAATAGGTTGGCGCTGCGCTATCCACCTCGCTGACGCGCCCGGCGCCCGCAGCGAAAACGATTTCACGTATTATCGAACTGCGTTCTGATTGTGAATATGGTGTCTGTGTTCTCCCAGCGTCATTAGGTGATAACAGGTAACAGGTGACGGAGAAGCCCGACAGCAAATGTGACATTTATTTCTTGTCGTTAGTGATGGCTTTAACCGTGAATGGCATATTCGTAATCAGGACCACTGATAACCTTTGAATAAGAGTTGTTAGCGAATATAGCGTATATGGCGTATATAATGTAATGTAGCACTCTATCTTTGAAAATTCAGTCTTAAATGCGAAATTTGAAGTTTGGGAAAACGCCCCTACTTACGGGCCAACCCAATACA